AAGCGTAAGCCCTGAACACGCAACCCCGGAATCCCTCATGTAGACCCCGAAATCAAGCCCTGGGAGGCAGCACAATCACAATCAGCATCCTCGCATCGCGGCCCTTTTAATTCAAAGGGGTTCGTGAATCAGGGTATCCCAAATCTCCGACAGCCGTATCTCCCAAGCCTTTCAAAAACACGATGATGGATCTCTTGCAAAGCCTGTGTACCTGCTTGTAGCAAAGAAATAGAGTTCCTTTGTATCTTGCTACGCGTCCCTGGCAGAGGCGTCGATGTGGCAAGTGGCGATGTACGCAGACTCCTCAATTAGGGTTAGGTTTTCTGGGTTCAGGGATGTGAGGCGTTTTCGAAGAATAGTGGTTTAGGGCTTGGGATTAGCTACGGAGCCTTTACAAAGGGTTCATTCAGTGGACTGTATACTGTGGGGTGGTCCGACCCCCAGCACTAGCACTGCCTTCACTGTAAGAGCAACATTAGTAGCAGTAAGTAACAGTATCACCATCGTCATCACCACGGTAATCATTCCCATCCACATCACCACGGTCGTCGTCCTTCTCACGTTGCCATCATTGTCATCATCGCCGTCACCGCCATCATCGGCACTATCACAATCACCATGATTATCGCGGTTATCACCATCACCCTCACAGTCGCCATTTTCAACACAACCATCACCATCATCATCACCATCATCAACACCGCCACCAGCTGCAGCACCAGCATCATCGCTTTCACATGATTGGCACATAATCCCAGAGGAAGAAGTGTCGTTGCCCCATTTTCGAGGCTACTGTGTTGACACCGGCATCGGCGCAGCCAGGGCCCCGAAACACCTAAAGCCGTGAACCCCCCAAAAACCTTATACCGCCAAGCAAAAACCTGAGGTCTGGAGCCTTTGTGCCTCTGGGGAGCCTTTGCGTGTCCTCTGCGGGGGGAGCTGGACGAGGCAGCCTGTGATTATGAACACGACGACGACGACTACTACTACTATCATATAGCACGTAGATATAGTGTGTATGGCTCTATATAGATAGTTGGTTGTTCGTTGGTTTGTTAGTTAGGTAGATAGGTAGGTAGATCGGTAGATAGATAGATAGATAGATAGATAGACAGATAGATAGATGGAGTGTGTGTGTATATATATATATATGTGTTTAAACATACTCAGTATTTTTGTTCATTAGCCCGAAGTTGAGAAGGGACGAAATTGGTGTTGGGGGGATTCAGGGTTAAGGGGTCAGGGATTAGCGTGTGGCATGTTGGGGTTTCGGAGACGGTTTGGGACTGAAGGTGGCAAGAAGGCGCTGAGCCATACATGTTTGGAGTAGACTTCTAAGGCCCTTGACTCATCAACCATCCTCCCTCAGCAAGGGTTCAATCGCGCATGTCTGCAGAGGACCGCCTAATATTTCAAGCCCGCAAATGCCCAACATCCTAAACAAGGGGTTTAGGTTCCCACTTGTGGCAACTGTCGGATGCTGATTATGATGATGGCGATGGTGATGGTGACAGTGACTGTGACGGTGTGGCTGACGTTGATGGTGATGGTGATATTGGTGTATGAGCTCGATGATGGATGATGGCGATAACGTCGACCTGATGGTGATGTTGGTGCTTGGAGGGTCGGGGGACCTAGTAAGTAGGTAGTAAGTAGACTTATAAGTAACCTAAAAGGAACTCTACTTGGGGTTATGATACTTATAAGTCCATAAAGTAGCTACTTACTAAGTCCAACGACCCTCCAAGTGACACGATGGGCCTAGATCCGAACACCGACGCTGAAGCTTTTGGTCGTCTGATTCTCAAATGGGAGTTTCCGAAAATAGGGGACCCTAATATAGCACCCTAAATAATAGAATCCTTATTATAAGGACCCCAAAATAAGGTACCCTAATTTTCGGAAACTCCCATATGAACCCCCAAAAGGAACTACTATGGGGCCTATGGGTACCCCCTATTTTCGGAAAGTCCCAAATGATCACCAGGCCGACGCATACAGCAGAAGTCTCAGGCGCCAACTCGTCTGTGGGGCTGCTTACCTAGTAGTAGGGTAGGTAACCTTTAACCTTTTTGGGGTAGTACAATCCCTATATAACCCCTATATAACCCCAAAGGTTAACCTTTAGTTCCCCATGATACCCGACAAGTAAGCTTAAGATTGAGGGAGTGGGGTTCCAGGCTCAGTGGGATTAGTGGGCTGTTGAAGGCTTGATTTGATTTGAGGCCGAAGTTTTAGGCTTCAGGGCTTAGGAGGGTTTCGGCCAGAGAGCTTTCAGTGCAAAATCGGTTTGACCCCCAGCTATAAACCCCTCATTCCACTGCACTGACGAAGCTATGAGATTTGCACCCTGGCAGCCACTGCAATTCTAAACTCTAAACCGCAAGCCTGCGAGAAGCCCGAGCTTGAAGGCAGAAGGTACGTCAGACGAAAAGCCATAGGAGAGGATAACATCCTCCGATATGAAGCATGGCTTTAACCGAAGAAGGATCTTGGCAAGTGTCTGTGTGCTTCTTTTGAAAAGTGGGTGCTTCGAGGTTTTATCATGGGATTTCAAATGATAGATGATGGTGGTGATGAGATCGGTGATGATGAGGTGGTCAGGGTGGTGATGATGAATATGGCACTGTGTGCTTTTGAATGGTTGCCTGTTGTTTCCGCGCTCGCCATGATTGTTATTTGTCCCAATTCTGACAGCAGTTGTGTGAAGACGCATTACAGTCTAGTGGTAGCAATGAGGCGATGGTAGGATTAAGCATGGTGAACGTGCTCTTGGCCGCAATAGCGGTAGCCCGACTGCCATCACAACATGACAATGAGAATGTTGAATGCGGCCCGCGATGGGCTGTCCGCGTCGTCGGTGAGAGAAAGATGACGCCACTGATCAAGTTGAACCCGAAGATAGTCCGCTTGCTATTGGATTGCCTTTGTGATGCAACTGATGTCATGAGCCAAGAGTCGGGAGAATAGGGATGACGAGGCTTCGGGCCTGGGGTGTTGAGCTTGTGGCTGCCTAAACCCCTAATGAGGGCCTCAACAGAAACGCCTGCAAAGCCTGCACCTTCAGAGGTTTCGATGCAATGCATGGCGGCCCAGGACAAGTGAGTGCTTGCAGCTGACGTCTCGACATTCAGTGTTGATGAGTCTGAACTTACAGTGTCCCTGTGAGGATTTACAGTTTCGGCTTTCCATGCGGAGGTTTTGAGTTGGGTTTGACAGGTGGATGCTCAGAGGTCAAGATGACAAGGGTGTGGTACTGTGATGGGGTGAGCGCGGCCCTCGCCGGGTTTGGTGCGTAGGAAGATGGACCTGGTGTTCAGTGTGGTGTTCAGTGTTTTGAAACGGGTGGTCTAGGCTCTTTAGAATAGGGTGAGGTTTTGGATCCCCGAAACTAGGAGTCACTCTTACAAAAGGACGACTTTGCCGCCTAGTTGCTTTAAACTTTAATCTGAACCCCCCCCAAAAAAAACTGCTAAGGTCACTCTTATAGTAGCCCTAAGTTAATGAGCACTTCTCGTCTGATTTAGCGTTGGAGGGCAAGCTCTGGATCCGATAGCGAAACCACGAGAGCCAGTACACCCAACTGCCGCAGCCTCTAAGCTTCCTAAACCCTGCAAGCCCTATGATTCCTGAATCCTAAACCCTAAACCCTAAACCCTATAAAATGGTGCTTAAAAGAACCCTATAAAATACTAAAGCCAAAACTGCTTATTTTCCGGCAGTTCGACGCTTTCGGGAGTTTGTGGCCTCCGAACTGTCAGTCTATGGGTTTCCAGTCTTTTTCGGGTTTCGGGCTTTGGGCACGGCAGCCACTGCAAGTCGGGGATGAGGCTTTTTGTAGGGCTTAGATCACGAATTCTGAATCCAACCTGCGCGTGCCTGGGTGATGAAGAAGCAGGATGGGGCGTGCTGCCATCGAAGCTGCCACCATGCTTGTACCTACACTCCGCTACTTACTAGTGTCCCTGAACCTTCCATGAAGCTACAACTGGAGGCCAGTCGCCTCGAACACACCTCCCACACCTTCCTACGCAGATGCTGAACGTGCGCAGGCAACATCTCCAAAAAGACGAGGACAAATTAACATGCTGCAGGGTCGTAGAAAGATGCCAGAGCACAGCACCCTAAACCCATGGGCACCTGACCCCATGAACCGTAAACCCTACACCTCTAGGACTTCAACACGTTAAGACAGAAAAGACTATACCCTGAACCCAACCCTCAGACCAACCATAAATCCTTGATCCGGAGCCCTAAACCCAAAGCCCCTAAACCCTAAGCCCTACAAGCCCTAAAATCCGAAGGTCCGGTGAGAAGCTGTTTGCCTTAGACCCGGGCGTCGGAAGATACGCAGGGGGCCCTACCTCTTCTCAACGTGTCTTCAAAGGGGTGCAGGGTCGGGGGCTCAGGCTTCAGTTTTTTCTTTTAAATAGGGTTTTGGGGATTTTTATGGTGTAGGGATGTATCGGGTGAAGGGCTGTACTTCATGGTTGAAGCTTGTGGCTGTTTCAGGACTTCCGGATGGAGGCGCATCCAACGCTTGCGGGATGCTTGGGGTCAGGGTCGCGAGGTCAGCCTGCTCCAAGCCTCCCGCTGCCTCTCCAGATCCCGCAGCCGAGCCTGAGCCCTGAATTAGGGTTTAAGGTTTAGGGTTTGAACCATCCAGTCGTCCCATCAGATGGGAAGGATCTTCGTGCAGGTTTCAGGGATCCTCGCCAGGGCTTTTCCTCAGCTCCTTCCTGTGCCTCTAGACGCCCGGAGCGAAGTCTAAACTTAATCCTTCGGTCTTCTTTGGGGGATTTCGGGGGGATAAACCGCAAAGCTCGAAGCCTCAAAGTGAGCCAACGCCACCCGATGGGTAGTTCTCTAAAGTAGGATCCCTTTTGGGGTCCTTTTAAAAGGGTGCCGTACCATATTGGGGCCCTAAAACGAGACCCTAATTTAGAGAACTGCCCCGATCGTGTTGCTGCAGATTGTGTCCACGGCCTTGCGAGATGGAGGCTGGTGTGCATCCCTGATTCTTGGTGGTTGGGGTCGTTCTGAAAGAGGCGCTATAGTTGCTATAGTATACCATAGGCTAGAGTCTCTTTGAGGGTTTTGTAGTAGTCTAGTACCTGTGTACGTCTCTTCGTGCTGTCGACTGCTTGGATCTGAACATGTCGACCTCAACGTTGTACCTTATTTTGGCGAAGTTCCTCTGCTTTTAGTCTGTGAGAACCGACCGGGAAGTGGTCGGTCCTCAGTGTCTCCGTCAGGCTTCTGACACTCGCTTTGATTACGAGGGTCGCCTTGTCATCGACATTCACGCCGCTTCTTCTGACAGTGTTGTCCGCTGGTTTGATGTTGCTGTGGGGCTCAAGCAGCATCTTAAAAAGCTTCAAGTTTGGGGTTTAGGTGATTCTGTTGAGCATCTAGGTGTTGTTGTGACTAACTTGTCTCGGCCCGTATCCTTGCGTGGTGGCTGGCAACGCGTCTTTGACCTGTTTTCCTTGCTTCTTCGCCCGCCCGGTGGCCTCACCATTCGCGAGGCCGCTGCCAGGTGCTTCATCAAGCCTGCCTGGTCTTGGTGCTTGCGTTATCTTCAGGTCCCTCCTCAGGCTCTTGCTAAACACGCCATGCAAGCCTTGCTGTGTACTGCCTGCAATTGGTGGTGTCGTGGGCGTTTTTGGGTCGACTGCGTCGACTTGCGCCCTGTTTTCGGCACCGCTGCTGCGGCCATCCAGGCTGCCGTTTCCGCTCCTGCTGGTGCGCAGCACGCTGCTCGGCCTGCTCTCGAAGCTTACGTTGCAGCTCTTCGGCTAGAAGTTGTTGCTCGGCACGGTGCTTTGCCTTCGCTGAGTGCAGCCCTAACACCCTTGGCGTCCTGCTGCGAGCAATTCATCGTCACCTGGCCTTAAACCCGACCTCTTCCAAAAGACAGCATGGCCTCCGGGCTGTGGCTCGCTTGCAGTGCCTTCGACAGGCATTTGACATTCGCTCCGACTACGAAGGTCTCCTTGACTCCGACATTCGCGCTACTTCTCCCGCCAGTTTTGTTGGCTGGAAGAATCGCCTGTCTTCCTTTCAGAGCTTGCTCCTCCGCATTTACCGCGGCGGCGCTGTCTTCACTCCAACACGCAAAGGCTACTTGGCAGACACGTTCATGTTACGAGCCCTCGCAAGCCGCATCGGACATCCGCTGATAATGTGGAAGTGGGTGCCTGCCTCTGTATGCGCAAGGGTCCAGGAAAGCCAAGCCAATCTGCCTGATCCTTTACAAAGATCACTTTCAGGTTTTGGTGCACGAAGCAAAGGAAGATCCCCCGTTATAGCTTGGACTCGGGAGACGAAGCTGCAAGAGCGTGCCAGTTGGAGAGGCGCAGGGCCCAAGAGCGTGCGCAGCGACCGGCTGTCTTTGCCAGTTGAGACATCTTGCAAAAGGAGCGCTTCCTCTTTGTCTCTGCCTGCCTCAACGCGGTGCCGTTCGAGCAAGAAGTCAAGTGCCCCGGGCCTCTCCTTGCCTCCTGGTACCCCCCGTGCCAGCGAGGTTGGTGTTAGCAGCACGGCGCGGGCGGCCACGGGCTCTGCGCGCAGTACAGTGCGAGCGGAAAGCTTGCCTAGCAGCAAGGCCGCTTTAAGTAGTAAGGACCCCAAAAAGAACAGTTTCTGCGCAACCTGTGGTCAAGAAGTCAAAGCAAGCTCCAATGCTCAATTGGTTTGGAGCATGTCCAATCACTGCCGGTATGCGCACCAGCAAACGAAACGGCCCCGGGAAGCGCACATTCGGCAGTACATTGAAAAGATTGAGCCCAGCGCTGCCATACCGGAAGCCGAGCGCTCTTGGTCGTGCGAGTTGTGCAAAGTTGGGTTGCCTGGCATGCCCTACGCGCAGCAGAAGGCTTCGGATTCGGCGGAGCACTTGCGGGGCTGCCACCCGGGCATCTCCCTCAAGCAGCACTATGACAGGAAGCGCAAACGGCTGAAGCGAGAAAGAGAGAGTGGCCAGACCAATACTGAGCACTTGAGTCAAGCTTGGGATGCGCTTAAGAAAAAGCACCGAACTCGTTGCATTAAGCTTTTTCTGAAGAAAAAGGCAAAAGTGGGCAAGCACAGGCTCGTGCCTGTGGAGTGGGACTGGAAGGAGGCCGTGCGGGCTAGAACGAAAGGCTTCATGAAGACTTGCGCCCGATGTTTTCGCATGTGCAATATAGGATCAGTAGCTTCAAGAGCATTGAGTGTGCTGGGTTGTCTAAGGCCCACGGTCGGGCCATGTTCCGGTACTTAGCCTGGCATCAGATGAAGACTGACTCGCCTGGCAACGCCATGCAACGCCGACAGGCTGCTGCAAGCATGGGGCCTGACGCAGTCCGAGTTTGTGCAGCAGGGAGCCTGGCTTGACGCAGTGGCCGCTCTCGAGGGTCGGCCCTTCCACAATGCAAAGCATGCGAAGCCTTCTGCCAAGAAGAAACCGTCTATAACCGTCTGCTGCCATGAGCGACACTTTTGGGCCGACTGCCCTAGATTCCAAGGCGTGCGTGCGAATCTCATTGAGTATGGTCTTGATGCTGCCTGATTTGGCCACCAGCCCCGATGCACTGCTAAGACGGGCTTCATCACTCTTCAGGCTTCGCCTTCTCCACAGCGACGGGAGCAGATGCAGGTCGCTACCTGCAAACTTGCGCTCGCAATACTTGAAGATAACTGAGAGCGTTTTCGTGCCCCGCCTGGTCGCATTGTGCCTTAGGCCTTTGGGTTTCTTTGGGTTTAGGCTTGGCCTGTCTGCTACGGTCTTTCTTTTCTATACTTGTGGTTTCGCCCCTGCGTAACCTCGTTTTCAATGCAGCTGGCGCTGCCGTCTGTCTGGGCGCACGTGTTGCGCTGCACCGCCTTTCTTACAGGGTTTAGGTGGGTTTTCTTTTTGCTGCTTGCTTGCCCCTCCCCTTATTTGGGTTCAGGTTGTAGCCCCTCTCCCCACGCACTGCCTCTTATACGGGCCTGGGTTGTGTCGCAGATATATATATATATATGTATATATATATATATATGACGGCAGGGCTTGACACCGGGCCAAGACCAATGGTGGATGTCGGGCGCACCTGGATGCCTCTTGGGCGTTGTATTGGTGTGGCGGATGCTTGGCTCACTTGCAATCAGTCTTCTAACTAGCTTTGATGCCTGGAGAACAACAATCTCCAAAGCAGTCAAGAGATACTGCTTGAAGGTCTGGATCACTCCTACAGTGACATGGTTTTTGCTGCAACGTAGGGCTTTACCCACGTTGCTCTCGTACTTGTGGGTCCCAGCTGGCAGCCCCATGCTGCATCGTATTGGTTGTCATATGTGCGCCCAGGGCGCTTAGTTGGCAGAGCACGTGTGTGTTCCATATGCGCCGTTTCCATGCGTTATGGCGCCTCTCCCATTCCTGCGTAATGCCTCAGCTGGATGCTTGACAAGGATCTGGTTGCATATTCTGCACTTTCAGGCACTGCAATGTCTTGAATCCGTGTGGCAGTTACTGCATCTGTGTATGCTTCCCCTTTTCCAGGTTTTCCACCTGTCTTGTTTTGATCCCCTTCTTGGGGGTGGAGGTCGAGGCGGAGCTCGAGTCACGGCAAGCAAAAGAAATCAGACACAATAGCTGGCTGAACTTTCGGCTGCGGTCGCGAACTTAACTAGACAGGTTTGTGAGCTCAAGGGCAATCGCCCACAGAAGCCTCGCAGGCCCCGTCGGCTTCAGCCAGGGATTTCTGCGCCGTCCCCTAACGTGGCTCCTTTATACTCTATAACCTCGTCAACATGTTTCAGGCTTGGAAAGGACCTAAGCCCCTGACGGACGCACAGTTGCGCAAAGCCCTATACAAGGAGTATTTGCTGCCACGTCTGCGAACGACGTGGTTGCCCCTCCTCCCTCCGACACGCCGCAGACTGCAAAGCCTGATGCCAGCATATCTTGGGCACAGGTTGTAAAGTAAACTCTGCCGACAAAGCCCGAACTACCAGGGTCGTTTCTGCGCCGTCCTTGGATGCTGCTGCCTGGATGGCTCCCGTCATTAAAGCCAGCAACGTTGAGAAGCATGACTTTGCAAAACCTTGTGTCATTGCTTGCTCCAATGTGAGGATGACCGTGCTCGGACCCTCAGTTGGATCCGGGCACGTGGTGTCAAAACAAGCGTTACGGTGGTGACTCTGTGCAGTGACGGCAATGCTACTTCAAACGCTCGCGCCGTGCTTGTTCACGGTCCCGCTGGAAGCAAACCTCACCCTGCTGTGCTTGACACCGTCGGTGATGCGCCTCCTAAGCAGGTTGAATTGCCCCAAGGGTTAAAAGACAATGCGGTTGCAAATGTCGCCGTGACGTGTGTCCGTGTCGGTTCGCTCTTGCCAAGGAGTTTTCGCCGGCCCCTTTGTTTGTCAGCTGCCTGCCTTGTTACTTGGCGAGTATCGCAAACATGTGTTGCAAACTCGTGGGCCCGTGGCCTACCCCACTGAGGTCACATGCTTTCTCAAAAATCCCAATTCCAAGGTTGAGACTCTGCTTGCTGTCAGCGTGCCTGCTGGCGGGTTTTGTTCACAAGAAGATATTTGTCTGGCGACATTCCCCAATTGATCACTCGTGCTGAGAAGGAATCTGCGAACGTGTCCTTCGACTTGACTTCTTGGGACAATGAGCGCGACTTCACTGAAGTTACTGTCACGCGTAGGCGCTCCAAGAAAGCTTGCTCCCTGATGGTCTAAACCTCGGTAACAACTCTTGGTCTTTCAAGTCTGTGGGCTAAGTCTCAGGCTTCTCGCAAAACTTCTAAAGCCAAAATGCGCCACTTGGGGTGCCCAGGGTGGCCCTACCCTTGCCGCTGTGAGCCTTCTTCTGATAATCCTGCTCTCGCGCAGATGACTTGGATGATGGCGCAGCTCCTGCTGAAGCATGATGCTTAAGAAGGATGTGTCAAACACGGCCTCTCTACTGCTGGTGGGAGCCCAGAGAAGAAGCGCTTTAAGAAAGAAGAAAGTCTTACTGGGGGTC